ATCAGAATTCATAACTTACAATAATCATTTGAGGTGGAATACAAATAACACAGATTAATGTAATAAAGGTTACCAACTCAAAATAATATGGAGATTGTTCATAAAAGTGTTTAGTCGTATTAGGGACTTGTTAGACGAAAGTACTTCCATTCCAGTATTGATATGTACACATAGATTTCAATGCAGTACTTACTGAAAGCTTATGATAGGTAAAGTAGTTTCTTAATGATTTAAGTGTTTGACTTTGAACCATTAAGTTGCGGGTTTAAAGCATGTTCCATGTACTTCAATTTGGGCAACCGAATAATATTACTAGCCCTAACATGAAAAGAAAAGCTAAAAGCCAAGTACACTAATCTATGCTTGATAATAAGTTAGTAATCATGGAGTTGAGCAGACCAATAATATGTTTAATGGTCATAATGTTCATATTCTTAGTAAGATTTTGTATTAGTCTGTTGATGATACTCAGGATCTATATATTGTCAACAATGATTAATCAGAATTCTCTCCCGATTATCAATAACGCGATAGTATAAACTCATGCCACTAATCTGATTAACATAGTTTCGATGAAATAATTGATTTCAAAAATAATTGTCAAATTTAGTTTAGATTTTGAACCGATCTCGACGATGAAAAATCTTTCAGTATTTGTCAGTGTGGTATCAAAAATGATGTTTTCAATGCTGATCCGTCCTCAATGTTCAATGGGCGTTCAGTAACCAGCATTTCCTGGAAGCTTCCCATTAATTTACCGGGTCAGTACTATATATACGTGTAAATTCACTGAGATCTCATGCACTACAAGAATACATGTGTGGATAACTTCAAATGCTTGAAATGAAATCTCCATAGGAAATTATACCCTCCTAAGCAACCAATATCAAAGGAAAAATACCCTACAATTGTGAATACAATAGGATCAATGAATATTTAAAACGAATGGATTACCTCACATAGTATTGATTACTAACTCCGCCTAGAGCACTTCTAGGGTAAGGATAAACCAAAAGGGTTGAGCATGGGGTTGGCGACTCCATCACTCAGAAAACCAAGTCGCTAGAAAAAGACGCTAACTAGAACACAATTCAAACCATTTAAACTCTTCACTGGCAGTTGGGAGGTCCTCATTTATAAGAGTTATGACGCCTTAAAGTGAGGGCGGAGTTTCTTCGGTAGTAAGGAGGACGATGTCCCTTCTGAAAACCAGAGCGATCATTGATGTAAGGTCATGGAATATTCGTAAATTGTGGGAGACTGGAAGAAATATTCAAGTTGCTGTGGAAATGAAACGATACAACCTGGTGGTACTTGGAATCAGCGAAACCCATAGGCTCCCCTCAAGAGTAGAAGGCATATGTCAGTAAGTAATTACCACTCCTCTAACTATGCCGATCGGTTACATTAACCTAAACTAACACACGTTCATGTTAGGTGTTATGGTGATTACGGATAAATGGAGAGCTGTAGCAAGTAGAATCGAATAGGGCAAAAGTGAAACTGTAAAACTCACTAATAATATTGAATATTTCTCAATTGAAGTTAAGAACATAGATTATTAGCTTCTCAATAGGTGATTTAAAAGATATCGTGTTAACCGTAACATACATAAGTTTTACATTCGAGCTTGTCTAGCTATAGTTGGACAGTGGTGATGAAGGATTCATACTACGGTGAAATAACTATATAAATGATTCATAAATTCAACTGATTAGCCAGTAAAAGTTAGTCTCTTTTACGTAAAGTATCATAACATTAACAAATCTTTATAAACCTTTTGATACAACCACAGAAAACTGATAATTACTACAGGAAAAAAACTGAACTGTACATAACTCAAAGAGCAAGAGAACTGATTTAATTCACCCTCGAAAAAAAACAGTGATAACTTATTCATCAAATATACTCACATTTATAGAATTTACTCAAATTAGATAGTTAAAGGATATCATAACGTAATTAAGAAAAAGTCAAAATATAAAAATGTATATCACTCTGAATTTATATACAATAAACCTTGGTACAATCTATTGAAAAGATATCAACTAACATATCATAATGAATTAGAAACATAATCTCACTATTTTTTATCCCATTTTAACAAGAAGATTGTTTCATATCAAACGAAATCTTCTAGAAATACATTGTAGTTAGTTTTTTTTCTAGAGAATCCCCATTCAGTATTGACACCTCGATTGCGTGTAAAGTTTACATTAAAACTTGAAAAAGTTATTTGCTCAAATCTAATTAATTCGAAAGATATTTTACTCTGGATATATCTACAATGATTTTCATAATGCATTGTAGAGTTTGTTAATTGATATGTAACTCATGGTATTTTGGATGAATATTCTGTTTATAAATATAAACCCATTCAATTTATAGTCAATCGAATTATTGGTAACTGTATTCTTTAAAATATATTCTGTTGGAATTTGAACAAATTGTTTTAGTGAAGTCAGTCAACTCCCTTATTTGAACTTTTTCTGTCAATCTGATTTAATTATTAAAATATTCAACTTCAATTAGTTAGATGACATTAGTCAGATAACTTTAGGTGTAATAGCCCAAAGTTGTTTTTAAATGACCTAGTTACATTGTTTATTTGCTTTACATGACAATCTAAGTTTTTTAATTTACCTTGTAAATTTGTTTGTTTTTTTATATTACACTAATCCATATTTCTTTTTGAACTTGTATCTTTTCTCGTACAACTATTAATGTTATTATCTCTACCTCTTTGATATTTTCATCTTTGTATTGATATAGTTTGGTAACTTAAAATGATGTACACATGTGCTAGGCTGTAGGTTTCGTATAAATAAATGAGTGACTAGAGAGTAGGATTCAATACCAGTATACAAAATACTTCGGTTTGGTTATTTGGATAAGCACAGTGTTACTCATCACCCTTAAAGTGTAATTTACAGCTGGGTGCACATGAGTTAATCAAACAAAATATAAGTTTTGATATATATTTGCATCAGTTCCAGTTACCAGAGAAATGAAATTATTAAAGATAAAGATTGAAAGCATCTATACTACTATGACCTATTTGGAATAATTTCACTTAAATTCGTTAACTATTCTAACGAATAGTTTGAATAACAATTAGTTAGCTTGGTAACCAACGATATGGTTCAGTTCATCAGTCAATGACTTCATAAATTAATATAATATGATGCTTGAATTAATGTTAGGCTTTTCCTCGACCTACAACATCGAAAAATAAGGTGGACCCGATGCACATGTGAGGGCGCGGATTAGCAAAGCATGGGCTGCATTTCTACAATTGAAAAATGTCTGGAACTCCAAACAACTTTCAACTAAAACCAAAATCAGCATTTTCAATACAAATGTCAAGACAGTTCTACTGTATGGAGCTGAAACTTGGAGAACTAAGAAAGCCGTCATCCATACGATAAAAGTATCTATGAACAGTTATCTACGCAAAATACTTCGTATTCGTTGGCCAGACACCATCAGAAACAACGTACTGTGGGAGAGAACAAACCACATTCCAGTGGAGGAGGAAATCAGGAAGAAGCGGTGGAAGTGGATAGGACATACACTACGAAAAGCACCTAACTGCGTCACGAGACAAGCCCTCACATGGAACCCTCAAGGCAAAAGGAAAAGAGGAAGGCCAAGGAACGCATTACGCCGAGAAATAGAGAAAGACATGAGAAGACGATCCATGTTAGACCACTATCTAACTATCTAACACTGATCAACTGATGATTCTGATGAAACTCAACAATCGTCACGACTGTATAATGACAAAAAAATATTTATTTCGAAATCATTACTATCAGAATAAATAATTCACTTTTCAATTAGTCAGTCAGATACAACATAGAACTTCGTACGTAAGTACATCAGTTCATGTCGCCATACCAAGTCAGCACAGAAATGTATTTGTCAATTCAAATCCAATATTAGAAGAGGTAGTAAAGGTATTAGAAGTAATCGGAGAGGTTAGGATTAGAAGATATTATTCAAGGAGTATGATTCAGTGAGAAAAGTTTAGAAAGTCAAAACTAGAGGTGTTGAAGAATCCAGAAGATTAGGATCTGCGAGAAAACAAAGAATAAATGCACCGGCACCATTGCGAACGGTTTCGAGCCATGTCGTTCAAGGTCTCTAGCCATCGATTATTATCATCTCGCGGACCCCAACCAGGTAGTCGGCAATTACCACTCGTCAATGACTCCATGGATTTCTGCCATGTTTTGGTTTGGCCACCCCTAACTTTTTTCCAACCTACTCCTACACTACAAAACAAAGCTCGACGAGGCAGTCGGTGGTTAGGCATACGCAACACGTGTCCCAACCACCTCAACTGACGAAGTTTCAATACTTCATCTATTGATCTGCCATTCTTACCTAGCACCCGATTCCTAATAACAGCGTTGCTCACTCGGGTGTCCCAGAATATACGAGCAATGCTTCGAAGACACCTATGATCGAAAACCAGTAACCTAAGAATATCTTCTACTCTCAGTGGCTATGTTTAACAGCCATCAAGTAAGACGGAGCGAACTACTGCGCAGTACACTCGTCCTTTGGTCAGCAAACGGATATCTCGCCTACGCCATAAGTGACGCAGGTTGGCAAAAGCCAATCGAGCCTTCTGTATCGGTGCTGAGATTTCGTCAGTCACCAGGCCATCGGCACTGATGAGACTCCCAAGATAAGTGAAGCAGTCTACTCGTTCGATTACTTCACTCTCTATCACTAGTTCAGGTGCCTATTATTCAATGATATATTTTTATTAAAATATGTTTAGCAAGAGAGTAATTTGTAAATATCACAAACAAATATCACTTACCATTAAATAATTTATTGATTACAAACAAATAATATCAATAATGTTTAGTTGAAATAGAAAATAAAAACGATACAATATTAATAATAATTGTCACCATCTATGTTTACAGCATAACAGTATGATACACATAATTTGGTCATTATCATGACTAAAAATATGAACAATTTCTTGTTATAATAATTATTACTGGTTAATAAATGTAGAAAGATTTATAAATTCGATTTTGTACATACATTTCTAGTTAAATGTACTTTTAAATGATCACTACGTTTAAAACGTTTTAAGCATACATTACAATAGAAATTACGTTCACCAGTATGTGCACGTCTATGACGTGATAATTGATCAGCACGTGTAAATCTTGCACCACAACCTGGTTGATTACATAAATGTGGTTTAACACCAGTATGTAAATGATAATGTTCATTTAAATGTGATCTTTTATAGTAAGCTTTTGTACAATTTGGATAATTACATTGATAACGTTTAATACGTGTATTTCCATTAAGTTTAATAGTATCTAATTTGATATATTTATGAATTGTTGATAATTTTGTATGAGATTCTGAAAAATGTTCATTGGTTTGTGATGATAGATCATTTTGACTAGTTGTACTTATTGTACTTAATGTTGATGTACAGTTGGAATGAATAGAAGAGTTTGAACATAAATTTTGTTGAGATTGTTGTGTTGTTGATGTTGTAAGTAAATGGCGTAGAATACATTGAGTAGCTAATGCAAAATACATTAATGTTAGATGATAAACATTATTATTACTATTATTATTATTACTTGTTAACCAATCGTTAGTATAATATTGTAACTGTTGATTTTGTTGTTGCTGTTGTACTGAATTCAAACTTAAATCCATTGGGAATAAATAAGGCATTAGATTTGAATAAAATTGATTAATATTACTATTATTATGATTATTATGATTATTTAATGAAATAGTGTTTCGATTTAATGACAAACTAGAACTATTCGAAGAATTCATTATGAATGTATTTAAGCATATATTACTCATTCGGTTATTGTTTATAGAATTGAATATAACATCTGATATATCCCTTCTATACAATGTATTCGTCTCTAAATCATTTTGATTAGTAGTGGTAATTGTATGATTTAATGATCCGGCAGTATTCATGTTATACACAAAATATATAAAACATTTCAAAGTTTCTCTTATTAATCAAGAGTTTTCAATGAATGGAACTATGGAACTGTACAACCTTGAATACATTTGGTTGTCATCATTTTAGTATATACTATAATAGTAATAATAGGTATCTTATACCTGAGGTGGTGGTAGTGAACATTAGCAAACTACTACTACACATCTTATTTTAAATTTTTATATTTGACATTTTACGTGAAATTAGCAAATACCGTGTGAATAATACAATCATCTATTCGCTATTTCTTACCCAGTATGAAGAAAATGCATTCTTCTGATTGGTTTATTCTAGGTCACTCTCTCCACATGTATATATGTACATGAGCATCCTATCTGCTTTGAATTCAAAGGGATGTGTTATTGTGTTACTTATTTTTCATCTCTTCTCCTTTTTTTTCTAACCAGTTAAAAATTAAACGAAAGTCAGATAAAAATGGTCATAGCATCATATATATGTATACATATTTGACATATATATGCCTACCATGTGGGATTCGGCCACACAAACACTGGTAAATAGAGCATTTAGTTATTTATTAAATTAACTAAGGGAATAATTGACATAGGAGATAATTTTGATTGTACACAAATGTATGATTGTGTTTTGGTATTTATTAGGGATTTTTTATAGTTGAAAAACAACAATGAAATTCAATTGTATTTGATCATGATTTGTGTACATAGTTTTGTGTGTGTGTGTGTACGTGTGTATGGTTTATACATCTTTTCGTCATGGAGTCATTCATATCAGTCAAACTAACAAGGTAACAAAATATTACTTGAGTGATTTGATTTATTTAGTATCTGGCTCGAAGTATCAATCCAGGATGAGTATTGTGTCCTAGTTGGGACTTGTCAGCTAGAAGATTTACTGTCTACATCCCTGTTGAGGATGTTAGATCTCCAGAACTCGCTTGATAAATGCCTTATTTTGGATTTCACGTTTGCGAGCATGGGCTGATCAGTTGACCTTGAGATTTCATTTCCCACCAGGAAAATCCATAACTGTGATTGGCTGCTGTGTATTTTAGTGTGCCATTTTCGTAACTGTCCCAAGGACGTTTCTATGGTGTATAAATAAACGAGAGTTGTGTACTTGATTGCATTGTGATTGCTGGGTATTGTAGAATATACTTTCTACGCTTATCAAGTCTTCTGTTTTTACAGTTTGGGATTCAAGGTAGCCTACCTGAGCGCTGGTTGATTGTCTTGTTCGCGTTTATTGACTAAGATGAACTCGTAATAGCTTCAAGCGTACCTAGTGATGAACGTAACAATCCTACTATCGATGTTCACATTGAAACTCTAATGCATTAGCCTTTCACTCTAACTACCTGCTGTTCAGTCTAACTAACTATTAACTTGTTAACTGGTATGTAGGTATTAGTAACGATTTTAATTTCCTCGATGCTGGTATTATAGACTGTAATCAATCTTTATCAAAATGAGTTTCAAGTTGGTCGAAACGCGCATCCAGGATAGCACTGATGGCCAAAATTCAACTTTACAATTGAACATACAGGATAAAAGGTTACTAAAATATAATCAAATTAATAGAGGAGGTTTTAAATCTGCTAAAGTGCTTCACTGCACGACAGTGTTACTCACAATAACTAGAGTCCACACTGAAGTTATCTTGAAAACAATAATATTATTACGAAAATATATTTAGTAGTACAAAATCGATTACATTGGTACAATAGCGTGTACTTTCCTTTGTCTCCTTATATTTATAAACTGAATGCCATTGTTTATTTTGTATTTAGATTTTAATTTCATTCATTCTTTTGCGATTGAATTCGTCGTAATTAGCTTATGATTCCATTAGATAGTTTTTTCTTGTCGATTACCAGTCCAACTACACCGGGAGCACTTCTAGAGTTACTACCTGTTCTAAGCCAGGATAAACGAGAAAGGTTAAGCATGGGTTTTTAGTGATCCTATCTCATGTAGAAAACCAACTCGCTAGAAAAAATACGCCAACCAGAACACATAATTCAAACCATTTAAACTCTGCACTGGCAGTTGGGAGGTCTTCATTGAGAAGAGTTATGACGCGTTATAGTGAGGGCTGAGTTTCTTCGGAAGTGAGGAGGATGATGTCCCTTCTGATAAGTAGAGCAATCAGTAATATAGGTAGATGGAATGTTTGTATATTGTGGTAGACTGGGAGAACCATTTAAGTTGCTGAGAAAACGAAACGATGAAACATATTGGACACAGGCTGGACAAAATAGTTTAGCTTCAGGAGAGATGCTGTTATACTCTGGCTATGGAGAAGATAATACCTCACACGCATAAGGAGTCGGATTGATGTTATACAGAGAAGCACAAAAAGAACTTATAAGGTGGTAATCTCATGGACCCAGAATCATCCATGAATCCTTCAAGACAAAGAAAGAGACTATCACAATGAATATCCTTTAGGACTATAAGCCAACCAATGGCAAAAATGAAAACAATAATGGTTAATTCTACTAGAGGCTGGAGTCAATCGTTGAGGAATGCCAAACAAAAGACTTGACTGTTCTGACAGGAGACCTGAATACCAAGGTTGGAATGGACAACACTGCATATGGAGATGTCATTGGATGACATGGACTTGGAGAAGGAGAAAGAACGGTGAGTGATTTGTGAATTTATGTGCTTTGAAAAAATGATTATAGGCAGCATTACATTCCCACACAAACGCACTTACTCAGCTACATGGATTTCATCCGATCACACTACACAGATACCACATCGATCATCACAAGCAACAGATCTCTGTTGATGCTCTGGACTATATTCAAGGAAGGAAGACCAAGAAGACAGCAATCAATATCAGCCGAACAGGAATAGAGGAAGACGAGGGACAATCTGGATACACAGAAGTAGACAACGAAGTGAAGCGGAGCATCCGAGCTGGTAAACGAGAACATGTGGATGATCTATACATGATAGAGGAAAGAGATGAGAGTGAAGAAAACACGAGACAACTATACAATACAACGAAGAAGCTCAATGAAAACTATGGTAAACCAGAACGATTAGTGAAAATTAAGGAAGAGAAAGTAATCGCCGACACTGAAGAACAGCGAAACAGATGTGTAAACCACTGTGGCGAGCTCTTGAGACGATCAGTTCCACTGAACCCACCCAACATCAAAGTAGCAACTACGGACCTCCCAATCAATGTCGACCCACCAACAATTGAAGAAATCAGCATGTCAACCAGACAAATCAAGGGTAGTAGAGTATCAAGACCAGGCAATATTCCATCTGAGGCACTTAAAGCGGACATGGTAATAACTGCAAACATACCCCACTCTCTCTACAGAAGCATCACTCAACTCTCAGTTACAAGAAAACTCTTCAACAGTGTTTCGGAACCGAATGAAATATTTCGTAGACGCCCGAATGAGCAGGCTAGATCGATCGTGTAGCAACCAAATTGCAACATTACTGATCATTGTGGAACAATCAGTTAAATGGGACTCACTACCCTGCATCAACTTCAGTGACTATGAGAAAGCATTTGATAGCATGGACAGGATGACACAATGGAGGCTTCTTCGACATTAAGGCGTGAATGAGAAGATAGTCAATATCATACGGAATTCTTGCAATGGACTAAACTGCAAAATCGTTCATGGCATACAGCTGACAGATTCGTTCCCACTAAAGACCGGTGCAATACAAGGTTGCTTACTCTTACCCTTTCTCTTTCTGCTGTTGATCGACTTGATTATGAAGACGTCACCAGCTCACAAGAAACAAAATATGTAGTGCACAGTTTGGATTTATACGAACGATTTGGACCCCGCAGATGATATAGCTCTTCCAGCCCACACACAACAAGAAATGCTGGTCGCTGTCAGAGCAGCTTCTGCAACAGTAGGTCTCAACATGCACAAGGGAAAGCAAGATTCTCCGATAGAACACAACATGTACCAACCAAATCACACTTGATGGAGAAGCTTTGGAAGATATAAAACCTTTGCATTTACATTACAGCATTACTGATGAGCAAGATGGATCTAATGCAAATGTGAAGGGGCGGATTGGCAAAGTAAGGGCAGAATGTCTACAGTTGAAGAACATCTGCAACTCAAAAGAACCATCAATGAACACCAGAGGCAGAATTTCCAATATGAACGTCAAGACTGATCTGTCGTATGGAGCAGGAAGTCAGAAAACTACAAAAGCCACCGCCAAAAATATGCAGGTGTTGATTAGTTGTTCCCTACCCAATTTAATGGGGATCTGTTGGCTAGACACCATAAGCAACAACCTGTGGGAGAGAACAGACCAGATTTCATTTGAGATAGAAATGAAGAGAGAGTACTGGAGGTGGATAGGACGCACTCTGCAAAAATCACCCAACTGCATGATGCGACAAGTCCTCACTTAGAAACCTCAAAGACAAAGGAAAAGAGGAAAGCTAAGGTACAAAATGCACTGAGGATTGGATGCAGACATGAAAAGAATGAATCGCGATGGGGCAGAACTGGAAAGGGAGGCCCATGATAGAGTCAGTTCCAGAATGTTGGTCAACGGCCTATGTTGCATCAGTGGTAACTGTTGTAAGCCAGTACGTAAACTGCGTATAAAATCAACAACAACTGTCAACAGTCGAGACGAAGATTATGAACGCAAATTATAGAAACTGTTAATGAAGTCGTAAAAACTAAAAGTTTTGGTCACAAATTCTAACACATTACCATTACACTGGCAAGTATATTGAATTTTACCAACATTTGCAAACGTCTGGAAAAGATTCATCTCAATCAGATTAGCCCCATATTAAGAATGATGTGAAGTAAGATTAACTACTTACAATTATTAAGTAGTATGATTAAACGCAAATAATTATAAGATTAGTAATAAAGTTGTATAGACAGAGAATAACCTGAAGCAAAAGGCACTCCATTCTATTCCTATATTCCTTTTTAATCTGAACAATAATACAACCAGTTAAACTCAAGCGATGATGTAGAATTTGTAAGTGGTGGGATTATTGTGTCTGTATATATATCTAAAAAGTATGCGCATTGATGATAGGACCTTCAAGAAGACCGAACGGCCGTCAAGTGCTTCCAGTTTTCTAATGGTGGTCTAATGATTGATTGATGATTACAAATGTGTCAAAAACACCAATATCCA